CTGGTTCGCAGTGTTTTTGTTCACACGAGGCTGGCACTCTGGCCGGAATCTCTTCCTAATCAGTGAGGCGCCGCTTCTCACACAAACCTGGATGCACGTCTGAAAATCACAAACCCTGGCAACCAACCAGCGGCCAATTGCATCTCAACACCTGAGCCCGGACGACCAGAAACACAGCCACGGACGTCTCCAACACGCATATTTGTTTCTGAAGCGCGGCTCCCGCCCTGCGCGAGGTCCAAGCCTGAGTCCAACGGTAAAGCAAAGCTGTGTGTGGCATCCGTGTCTAGCGCACTTTTTCAAAATGTGTTAAAAAAATTGCAGCCTCCCCCGTGTGAAACCTACAGCGTTTCGGGGTTTTTTGTTGTTGTTGTTTTTTGGGCTTTTTAAAAAAATAACATCCTCTGTAAAACGAACGTTAAAGCGCTGGAACCAAAAATCAGCCCGGGCCTTGACTCTGGGAAGGCCGCGGGGCCGTGTCTGGGGGCTCTCAGGAAGCCAGCAGCCGGCGGACGGGACTCGGCGTTGCCAGAGACAGGACAGTTATTTGCAAATATCAAAAGGAAGATCTTACAAAAACCGTGACGTGAAATCAGGACAGCCTGACTGCCGTTGCCCTGGTGTCCAGCCCGACACACGCCTTTATAAACCATCAGCTGTTCACACACTCGCTGATAAAGTTCCAGAGCTCTGAAATTGAGCTACAAAATAAACAGACATTGTGTTTGGGGAGACGAAAACAAAACCTCTCTGCCAACGTGGAGACAACATTCTATGACCTACAGCTTGGCCGGCGCTGATTTTGAGGGATACAAAACGTGGTAAGAAGCAACGTGCCTTTGTCTGGAGAGTCAGCGAGTAACCGCTACACGCTCCTCGGGCCCCGGCATCATTTTGGCGCTTAGGGGCTACTATTTAAAGAAGAGGCGTTAACGTTAGGTGTGCCTTTGGGGGGGGGTGACAGACAAGCCCTGGGCCCGACCTGTGCTCCTTCCCGTTGGCTTCCCAGGTGAGCGGCCGTGGCCGCCCAGCACCGGGTGACACGCAGCGACCTCCAGTCCCCACCCCTACGCCTCCCGGCGGGAAGCTGCCGTCTTGTTTGTGTGACTCGGTGATCAGCAGGCAGTGAAATGAAGGGGTGATAGGAAGGGAGGGGGAAACCATCCAGCATTAAGCATTCGCTGTAGGAAAGTCTGAAAAACGGAACTTCCAAATATTTGAGCCGACCCCAGCTTTTAAGTATAAATCCCCACATCTCGGCATAGAACATGTGCTGATTTTCAAATCTAGCGCCTCAAGGAACAAAGGAGGCGCCCGAGATCCCTCTCTGCTGCTGCAGCGCCCTCCTTTGAGGGTAACGGTGCCCGAGGCTCCGACCGCCCGGCCCAGTGCGTCAGCCGCCTCAGCCCCCGTCACGCCTCTGAGAGCGAGAGTTACCACTGGAGCCGAGGGTGCAGCTCAGCGGTAGAGAGCGTGCTCACCATGCACGGGGTCCTGGGTTCCATCCCCAGCACCTCCAGTAAAAAGTAAAATAAATTAAGCAAATAAAGAGACTCAGGCCAAGGCCACCCCCACGCCCTGCACACGGTCCCGAGGGCTTCAAGTGCAGCTACATCCCGGGAGCCTCAGCTCCTGGTGAACGGGACCCCGTCACATGAGTCCCGGGAGGTCCGGGCACCCACGTGTGCCCCAAATGACCCTTAGGCCCGCCAGCTGACCCCACTGCCAGCTGCACCGGCCTTTGTTTTCATTTCAGACACACACCTGCCTACGGACAAGTGTTGACACGACCACCCTGCCTCTTCCACGCACTGTCTCGAGGGGCTGCACGTGACCAGCCCCGTGCCCTCTCCTGAACACCAGGAGGCGTTCTCGGGGCACAGGGCCGTATCTGAAGAGCCCCCACTCCAGACGCGTCTGAGAGGGGACGTGACTTGCTCAAGGTCACGGTCTCCACCAGCAGCATCGGAAAACAGAACCCAGGAACTTCCGTCCTAGGTGTCTTCCGGGCACACGCCCAGGTGGCTGCCCGCGTGACAACAGGGACACTGTGCCTCTCCTGGTTATGAAAGGAGGACCGAGAGCTCCTCACAAGGGCGTGCATCACAGACTCCCTGAGCGGCTCGCGGACGAAGATGACTCAGACCAGCCGAGCACCCGGGACCCCCCTCTTACCTGCGGGTCCGAGAACAGCAGTCCTGTGACCTCGTGTGTCACCACGGCCGCGTTCCCGGGGATGTTCCGCGCCAGCACCGGGACTTCCAGATCCATTGCCTAAAAGGATGTTCAGAGAGGGAAGGAGTCAGGAGTGGGGGCCAGGGGGCGGGGGGAGGTGGCAACCATTTTAAGAGCTTCTCTGGCGAGATGAGCCAATTTGTGGGGGAATAACTCCTTCTGTTAAGTGGACCCCTGGCACCGCACAGAAAGCACCGCCTGACAAAATGCTTTCTCGACCCAAAGCCCGCGTCTTCAAACTACGCACAGAATCTTCGTGGCTTCCTGCGCCTGCCAGTCCTGGAAAGCTCTGCACTGTCACGGTTCGTCTGCCCTAATGGCTGCAGCGTCACAAAGAAACCCCTCTCTCCAGATGCCCAGCGGACACCTCTTCAGAGGCAGCGTGGAGCACACATCACTAGTGACTGTCTACTTTCCCTGATGAGGGCCGCTCTTCCAGCTCACGCAGCGGTCCCCCGGCACGCACCCCACGGGCAGGAGGAACACGACTTACCGTCCCGATGATTCTCTAAGCGGCCTTTTCATTCCCAAAGGGCTGGGTTGCTGCCCAGAGGCAGCCCTGGCTGGTGGGGGGCAGGGGGGCCGTGTCACCAGCACTCTGGCTCTGACGATACACAAGCACGTTTAAAGTGCTGTGGACCTGCAGGTGGTGCCTACCTTGAGGTCATAAATCCCTGGCCCTGAAGGGGTGACATGTGGCCTTCAAAAGCATCAAGTTACCCGATCTCGGCTGCTTTGTACATGGCGGTGGGAATCTCTGTGACACCAGGGGCCACCAAGTGGCCCACGTGCCCGGAGCCGGGCGGGACACACGGTCAGTGCCCATCAGACACTTGTGGGGAGAATGACCCAGAAGCTTCCGGACGTCAGCTGTAAGTCCGGGGTTCGCTCCGTGGGCATCAGCACGCTTCCTGGTGGGCTCACCTGGGTTTCGGTTCTGTGTCACCCAGGACAGTCTGCGTTTGAGACCCTGGCCCTAGCTGGGGGAGGGGGAGAGTGGGACACACTTCTGTCCCGGCCCCCGAGGTTATTCTGTCCCCACCACCGGGGGGGGGGCAGCGCTGGCACGCCACTCGGAGGGGCCTCCCTGCTCGTCCCGGGCCGCACCCCTGCCTTCCCGGGACAGCGACGGGCCCCTGCCAGGCTCTCCTGTCGGCGTTTCACAATCACAGGTCTCCAAGTCATGATTTTTCACTTCCGTCTCGCAGGGTGATGGCAGGGACCCTCCGTGGCCGTTATGCTCAGGAACACAGAAGCCCAGCAGCACAGGGGAGGAGTAACCGGAACGGCCACATCTCAGCACGAGGGTCCAGACCGTCTCATCCCAGCCCACAAGCTCCTCTGAGGGCAGGGGCTCGGGAGAGGCTGAGCGCACACATCAGGGCAGAGCTGGCCCCATTTCCACCATCCTCTATCCCAGGCAGCCCCCGGAGCACTTTCAAATTCAAACCGTACAGTTGTCCACTGATTCAGGGTTAATACCGGTACGTTTCAGACGCCCTGGCAGACACACAGACCGAGAGGGGAGTCTACAGACGGAGATGCAGAGGCAGAGGTGTAGGTCGGCAACACCGGCCACCGGAGGGTCTCGGACCCGAAGGATGACAGAGTTCACACCCCCGTTTCGGGCAAAGGAGACCCCATCACACCTCCTGCTGCAGAGACTTAACTTCCACATCGACTCAGCCAGCGCGCACCAAGCACCCGACACACCCGCAGGGCCCTGTGCCACCGAGCCCGCCCGTTCCTTGTCCCGCACTCAGCAAACAGTCATTGTCAGCCTGCAGGTGGCAGGACGCGGGAGGCTTGGGCAATGAGGCCAGCGGGTGAAAGGGCGGGTCAGAGAGGGGACGCTGCGCGGGGCTCGGCCTGCTCGGTCCAGTTGGTGCTTGGTGGTCACGGACGGCGCTGGGCTGGACTCCGGGGGAGGGTCCGAGACGGCAGAGGATGCGCTCCTTGCCTCTGAGGGAGGCTGCGTTTCAGCAGAAGAGATGAACTGCCACCTGGAAATCCTGCCATTGGCAGCAACATGGACGGACCTGGAGGGCACTGTGCTAAGCGAAGTGACTCAGACAGAGAGAGACAGGGACTCTGTGATGTCACGTATGTGTGGAATCCAAAAACACAGCACACTGTTGGATAGAAGAGCAGCAGACTCGCAGAGACAGGCGAAACTAGCGGCCACCAGCGGGGCGGGGGCAGGGACGCAGGGGTGCGAACCAGCGCACAGAGTAAGCTGCAAGGAGGCGCTGTCCAGCACAGGGGACGGGGCCGGTGCTTTGTAACTACTAACGGGGTATAACCTTTAAAAACGGTTTAAAAAAAAAAAAGAAATTCAACCTGGGCCGCGACCCTGTGAGTTGGGAGGAGACACTTAAATGCACTGCGAAGGCCAGAAGCTCCCAGAAAACCAACTGTGACGTCATCTCTCAGCAAACAAACCGTCTTTAAGAAAAGAGGCGCCTCACGAACGAGTAAGCACGTCGCAATGGCATTTTCGCCTCCAAGACGCGGCGTGAAGAAGCTGAGGGCTGAGTCTCAAATCCCTTTCCTCAGGTGTGAAGCCACCTCCTTTGAAAGTAACTGTGTCTTCGGGGGAAAGCAGGCCCCAGGACACGCCGGGGCGGGAAGGCGGCCCTGCTGGGGGCCGGGCCGTGAGGTCTCGTGCCAGACGGTGCCTGGAGACGCGTGAACAGAGAAAGGAGGAGGGGCGGGAGCGGGGCGCCCGGAGCAGGGAGCCCTTCAAACCCGAGCCGGGAAGAGGGAAGGCGCGGCGCCAGGGCGACCCAGCGTCTGGTCCGGCCTGTAGTCCCTGGGCTCCTTTCGCCCCTGATGAGCCCTCAGCCTTCCGCCGGGAGGATGGGGGCGTCACCCTCAGCCTTCCTGCACACCTCTGTCTCTGGGCCACCGCCTCCAGCAGGGCTGACAGAGCTTTCCAGAGGCACGGCCCCAGTCCACGCTGCGGAACAGCCTTGAGAAGCCCAGCCGCCAGGGCTCCACGCCAACGCGGTACAGTGGGCTTTTGAAGGATGCCGTCACCTGTATTTACGGTTTTTCAAGCTTCGGGGGAATTCTGATGCACGTTGAAAGCTCCGTGGTCCAGGTTTTCTTGCAGAGACGTCTGCCCACATTTCACTGGCCTCGACTGAGAGTGTGGGCAGGACAAAGATCCCTGCTGGCCAGGTGGGGACATGCCTGGTCCCAGTGCCCTCCAACATGCAGGCACAGGGCAGGTGGGGGCGCGGCTGTTCCCAGTGTTCCCGACGTGCAGACACAGTGCACTTAAGTCATTGGGTTGGAGCCCTTCTTCACCGAGACGCCAAGGGCATGGCAGGTGCGGCTGTCGGATGCAAGGACTATCTTGCACCTTGAAAAACACTGCCCTCCCCTGCAGCCAAGCTCAAAGCCAGTAGCACCCTTCCCATTGTGACAAGTCAAAAGGCCCTTCACGTTCTAAAGTGGGAAGGGCCCCGTCTGCCATGCACACCTTGACACTAGCCAAGGTCACACGACGGTCACAGCTGCCCTCGAGAAGCCCTGAAATGAATCTTTAGTCCCTAGGACCTGGGCTTGGACGCTGAGAGCCCAGGAATTATCTCCTTGTGACTCTGCTTTAGACGATGGCCTTCCTTTCTCCTGCGCAGTGAGAGCTTTGATCTGGAGGGTAGTGTGTGTGTGTGCCTGTGTTCCATGGCAGGGAGGAGACACTAGCGAGGAAGACTAGGATAAAAAAAAATAATGATGTTTTGTATTCTTTTAACTTAATTCTATGCAGAATTCAACTTCGTAACAAGCCCACAGTGGAGACAACAGATTCGCGTGGGAACGTTCACGCCACGGCCCACGTGTCCAGCTAGAGCTCGATCTTTGGATTTTACCAGCAAGAAACGGGTTTAATCAAATGGGCTTTTTACACGCTTCCGTGACAAAACAAAGCTCATCCCGCGAGGTCAAAAGACGTTTCCTCCAGAAGTGGTAACGCGTTTATTCCGGGAGGAACCGCTCTGGCCCCCCGAGAGGATTCTAACGAAACACACCCTTTACGACGCCTCTGAAGTCAGCTTCTTGCGGAAGCCCTCAGCCCGAAGGTTACTTTGGAGGTTTCGAAGGGAACTCCGCGTCGGTGCTCCGAGACGGTCAGAACTGCCAACAGCTGCCTCTCCTCCTTCCCTTGGAAGCAGAGGGGACTTGACAGCGAGTCGCCTGCAGTGAAATGCTGGGTGTGCTGGTTTGAAAAAGCATTCCCGAATTCAACTTCACCTTTTCTTAAGAAGCAGGGGGAGGGGGGGTCAATTTACATACAAAGGAACGATTCAGCAACAGCCCAGGGACGGGTGCTGCAAGGTCCCTCCTTTTTAAAGCCTATATACAGAGAGCACAAGGCCGCTCCGACACCTGCCGTCCCAGGCCGATTTTAACCCACAGTGGGGCTGACGCTCAGCATTACGCTTAGATTGAGACGCTGAGGTGCAGACGTCTGCGGAGGTGGGACACGCCACAAACCCACGCTCTGTGCTCTGAAAGCTTCCGAGCCCTGGAACTGCAGGCGCAGGCGGAGTCTGTCTCTCCCGGCCCACGTATTCTGCTTTGGGCTCTTTTTGGCTTTTGAAAGGAGGCCACGGGAACAGAAAGCTCGAGGCGTATGACATCGGTCCTTCCTCAAATTTAGGGAAGATTCCTCTTTTTTTCCTGCTTTAATTACTTACCATAATCTCCGGAACACTGAGGTCCACAAATTGCACCAGTGAATTCAACGAGCCCCAAAGGTGTAAATGGATATTAGAAATACGGTAAAAACAAAAGCGTGTCTCTAAGCAGACACTGACGTGAGGAACCAGTGCCGTGAGAAGGGGAACGTGGGATGTGACTCAAAGACCTGGAGGACCGACAGCCACACGTCTCCTTTGCTGCAGCAGGTTTTGGGACCTGCTGAAGACTAGGGCGCAAACCGCGTCTGCTGTGCTGAGAGCTGGAGGGGATTCCGTCCACGCGACGAACAAAATCCAGCACTGAAGGCTGGCGATGGCAGGAGGGCAAGACGCCTCTTGGCTAAGGTCGCCCTGCAGGAGGAGCCCAGCGCGCCGTGAACTGACAGCAACGCAGGGGAAAGGAGAGGAGCCTTTCGCGTGGGCCGCCCGCTGGTGACCACCGCAAGTCGCCAGCGCAAAGCGGTTCACACGTCCCAGTGGCACACCGGGCACGTCAGGCGCGCAGCGAGAAGCTGAAGCTGCAAAGGGCTGCGAGGTTGGACTGAGTCCCCCTTCCCAAGAGTGGACGCGGCCAAGCCAGAGCCTGCCAGGATTTCAAGACCAGGGGCTTCTCATCTCAGCCTCTCCCTGGGAAGCACAGGTACCTCGGGCAGCGGACTGCGTGGGACTGCGGGCTGGGACTGCGGGCTGGGACTGCGGGCTGGGACTGCGGGCTGGGACTGCGGAGTGGCGCTGGGATGTGCGTGCACACTTAGCCCGAGCAGGTTTAGCCGTTTTCCTGAGCTGAATGCTAGACAGACAGACTGCATCTGACCCTGTCCCCACCCCCGGGTGCATCTACACCGACCCCCCCTCCAAGCTGTTGTTATCTCCCACCCCTGCCATGTGCAGGAGCCCAACCCGTTCCCATCCCCGCAGTTCTGGGATCACAGAACACACTGCAAACAGGGAGCAGCAATCAAGGCAAGAGGAGGCTTCCCACAAAACCCACCCCCACCCCGTGCCCTGCCCCAGCCCTTCACCACCTCGCCGCCTTCCCGCTGAAGACAAACGGCCAGTCGGGGCGGCGCCACCTGAGTTTTATTTCCCTCTGGGGCTGGCCAGGAGAATGGCCATGGGAAACACAGTGGCATTTTGAAGTCCCAGCTAGCACTGAACAGCCACTTCCGAGCTCCCAAGGAAATGCCGTTTTGCTTTTTTTTTTTTAACTTCGAGGTGGGCACAACCTCCATAAATGCGAACAGGGCTGGCGGACAATCTCACACCTCCACCTTCAGGACGCACGCTGCGTCCTTACCTCCAGAATCGCGGCGGACATGCCCTCAGACACGGAGCTGTTCACCACCGCGAAGCAGTTCTTCACAACCGCGTGCAGGTCCTCCTGAGCCATCTCTCCCATCAGCCGAACCCCAGGGGTCCTGCAACAACACGGGCAGAGAGGGAGTCTATGGCTGGCGTCTAACAGGGAGGGGCGGGTAGAAGGGGAGGCAACAATTTGGGACGAAGACCCTACATCACAAGGGAAGCACTGCTGACAAAGGGTTCGACACCATCCTGGGCTGAGAATCTATTTCCCCCCTCGATGTGGGGGCGGGAGCCGGTTAAACACGCCTGCCTTCACCCTGAACACGCATGACAAGGGACACACCTGCCTCTCAGACAGCGGGAGGCAGAGAACGACTGAGAAAACAAACCTTTTCTAATAATTCAAATTTTTTTCCCAATGATTTTTTTAAAGACACTGAAAGATAATAATAGATGTGTAACATACAGAGAGAAAGAGAAATTGTAAAATAGTAAAATAGTCAAAAAAAAAAAAACTCAACCAGTACTCATGTTCCCACCACTTCTACAGGTTTTTACCTTGTTTTCCATCCAACAAAAGTGACATTTTTCCCCAAGCGTCCACCCCCCCCACCAGCCTCGTGATTCTGACAACACGCCCTCTGGCCTACGTGGTTGTACTTCACCCCGTGTGCGTTGTGCACGTCTGAGCAACGTGAGACATCTGCTTGCCGTGGGGGTAAAGTCAGTGTTTGCCAGGCCCCCTGGCTGATGGGTAGCCCGTGGGAGGGGCGTGGGACTGTGCGGCTGTGACGAGATCACATCAAGGGGCGGCTGACCCAAATGGGAGGTGACCCTTTTGGCTCTTGCTCTTCCCCACCTCCCCCACTGGAAATTCCGGATGCACGGGGTGGAATTCTGCAGCCACTGTCACCTGGAGGACAGAAGCCACGGGGAGGGACAGCAGGACAGAGAGACAGGAGCCAGCGTCTCTGAGGTCTTACTTGGTCCTGGACCAAAGACATGAGGCTTTTTTTTTCTCCCCAGTTTTTGGAATTTTTTTTGGTGGGGGGAGGTAATCAGGTTTATGTTTTTCTTTCCTTCTTTATGTTTACCGGGGGGACTGGGGATGGAACCCGGACCGTGCGTGTGCTCAGCACGGGCCCTACCACTGAGCTGCACCCTCCCCCCGACCCGACGTCACTTTTCTACGTGGGCGGTTCAGCCCCAGTGTGTGTCAGGCCGGCGTTGCTGGGTCTCTGTTACTGGCAGACAGATGCCACTTATGATAAACAGGCTGACAGGCCGCTCTCCGGAGGGGCGGCGGCCATCTTCACCGTCACCAGCGGGCATTTCTTTGCAGTGTTGGCCAAAGTGATTAGTGAGAATTAGCACCTCCACGCGGGTTGCAGGGGTGGTCTCCACGCGTGTGGCCCCTCGGCCGCTCCCCCGGGAACAGCTTATGCTCCCGGTATATCAGCGTCCTGACTGCAAATGGGAAAAGCGAAGAAGTCCCGGGACCCTTCAGAGATTAAAGGTGGGATCGCCTGCAGTGTGCTGGGGACACAGCCTGGGACACGGCGAATGCTGGGGGCGGGGATCACTTCCTGGTCACGAGGCTCCGTCTCCTGCAGAGCGCCTGTCAAGTGCCCTTCCCTTACCTCTTCACTTTGGCTTCCACTTCCCTGGTGAACACTGGGTCAACCTGAAAAGAGACCAGGATAAACCTTAGGAAGCGCTGGAAGTGAATCTACGTCTTAAGAGGATTGCGTATCGTGGCCATAGACGCAGTCGTTTCAGAAAGGGAAAAAAAAGAAAACAAATGAAATAGGAAACAGTGCCCCTGAGTCCAGACACCACAAAGCAATAGGGAGGCAAGAGGACTTAAGGGAAAGTGTGAAGAAATCTGCAAATACAGCCGTCCCTCTGTGCAGAGTGGGGCTCCGCAGACAGACCACTGAGGCCAACACCCATCCCCAAGCCATGCACTAGCCCACGTGGTTGTGCAGACATTAATGGACCTCTCTGGGCCTCGGTTTCCTCATCTGTAAAATGGGAATTATAGCCACACTTTGGGACCATTGGGAGGATCAGATGAGCTCAGACACCCTCAGTGCTTCCAACTATTTCTGACACATAGTAACTACTATATCAACAGTAGAAGGAAACAGTTAAATATCAAAGCCGTTCTAGAAGGAATAAGAATGACAGCTGCAGATTACATCACGAACACAAAAATATCTATACACCTAACGCAGACGTGTACTTTCCCAGTGACGGCGCCACAGTCCCAGGAAGGAAAAGCCACCGCACCCTGAAGGCGATCGCAGCATCCACAGATGAACGCACCTCGTGCCCGACCATCAGAAACCAAACTGGAACACTCTGCGCACCGTGACCTCTTCTGGGGTTTTCACTTACAGAGGGACCAGGAGCCCCTTAAAGGATTCTTTCCCACCCGTCACGGGGTTCCTGTAAACCCACTGAGGGTGAAGTGGCAGTAGACATTTGTCCCATCTAGTTACTCTGCCTGCAAACTCTCTACGGAAACAACCGACAGACTGGCTTTGTCCCGCCCCATCCCTCCACTGGTTTTATTAACAATGAATACAGATAACTTCCAAAATGTTCTTAAGCTTATGCAAATGTAACACAGAAGTCGAAGCATTTCTTCAACAGCAGAGGCAGATGCAGGTGTGAACACATTTTTCTCGCGCGGTGTCTGTCGGCTTGTCCTGGTACAGCCGATGAGCTCAGAAGTGAAAGCAGGTTCAATTTCTCTTCTCATTCACACTTTACCAGCAGGTATCAGGCTTACAAACCAAGTTGGTTTAATGACTAGGATGGTACCCCTAGAGTTTATCATACTAACTGAAATAATTCTGTGTCTTCCAGAAATTTCGTTCCAGTTTGGTCTGGCAAGGAAATGTTGTGTGCGTCTGTGTGTGTGTGTGTGTGTGTGTGCATGCCACAGATGTGTGCTGAACCCCAAATCCTTCAAACTACTCAAATGACTGAGATACATCCCCAGGAACCAGTAATGCAAAGCTCACTTACATCCCTGACATCACCACATCACTCTGGAGGCCAACATTGTGAATGTGGATGGATAAGGAATTTGAAATGATTCCTGGATTTTTTTCCCTATAGTTTAATGTATTTTAACAGCAAACTTGCAGGAACAGTGCAGAAGGAAAAAGAAAATATTAAACACATGTACTTGCACATAGGGCAACTCAGAACTGAGACTGGCGAAAGGATGGAGTCTACTGTGTGATGAAAATGCACCAGACACGATTCAGTGGCCGCCGATGAGAAATCCACTCGTTTAAAGAAAACCCAAATGCTGGCGTTATCCAGAAAAATGCAACAGGTTTGTTTCTAATGGTTAGCAAACTCAGCTGCCAAAACTTGTTTGCCGAAACATTCTGACCTGCGTTAATGTCTCTGCTTTCCCATCAGAAATTCACATTCCAGTGAAACTGCCGAGCCCCGACTCTGCGCCCTATTTTCCACTCACACTCGGACACTTAGGTACCTTTTGACTCCAAGAGGGGTGGGGTGGGGGGGATAGAACATTCAGACCTATCAAATGAGGTTTTTTTTTTTTTCGGAAGAATGAAATCTTTCCCACCTTGAGCGCATCGTCTGTGTGCGCCTCCTGCTGGCAGGGCATCCCCTGGCGTCATGGTCACACACGCAGCGCGGGTGGCATGCAGGCTGGGGTCTTGTCTGGGGACAACCAGACCCTGACAGCTGCGCTCTGGAGGTGCAGCCCTGTTTGGGAGCCCTGAGCAACGTCTCGCGCCGGATGCTGGCAGGAACGCCTGCCAACCAGAAGTTCAGGGGGCTTCTGACAATGTCCTATTTCCGGGAGCCCCTCCAGGCCTGAAATGATGCCTGTAACAATGGGTTTCTTCACCCCTCCGGTAGAGGGCCCACTCTCTTTTTAAAAAATTCTTATTTTTTTAATTGAAATGTAGTCAATTCACAGCGTTAGTTTTGGGTGTACAGCAAAGCGATTCAGTTACACATACACATACGTACACACGTTTTTTTCAGATTCTTTTCCATTACAGCTCATTACGAGAAAGGGAATACAGTTCCCCCGTGCTATACAGCAGGGCCTTGCTGTTTGTCTATTTTAATATGGTAGTGTGTGTCTATTGATCCCAAACTCCTAATCTATTCCTTTGCCAGCGGCATTTTGATCGGTTTCTCCCTGGGCGCGTCACCGCCGTGGACTTGCGGGCGGTCATCTTCCCAGGACGCACCGGATGGAGACCTCCTCACTCCGGCCCCTAGCCCTCCGGCAGGAGCCCCAGGGTCAGAGGGGGACAGGAGGAGGCCGCACAATTCTACTCCACGAAAGATTTTTTAAAGAAAAAACTCACAGCCGGGCACACATTACTACTGGTGGCAGCTGTTAACATCGGCATCCACCGGGCGCTTACTCTGGGCCTAATCCCCGCTGAGTCCTACGCACGCATTGCTTCTTGCCCACGATGCTGTCAGCGTCGTCCCCACGTTAGGCGAGAGGACAGCGCAGCTCAGAGAGCTGGTGTAGCTCAGCCAGGATCACACAGCAGGGAGGGTGCCGGGCCAGGATCGAGCCCGGGCAGCCTGACGCTGGAGACTGCATTCTTGGCCACGCTCTGCTTTTCATGCAAAGCCTTTTTATGGAATAGTTCATATAAAGTGAATGTGCCCCCCAGAACCCCTCCCTGCCTGCCTGTTCACTCATCCACGGATGCCACCTGTACGTCCCCACTTCTCGCCTCTCTCCTAATGGCATGTCACTCTCTCCACCAGGAATGCCACCTTCTACCCCTAAACCCATCTATCCCCAAGGCACAGGCAAAAGGGACCTGAGAAACTCTGCCCCAAGATCCAAACCAGAGGTGGCATCTCCCCCCGAACTTTTCTACCATCTCCTACCAGACATTCTTTTTCTCACACTAAGCTTTCAAAACCCAGTGTATATTTCAACTCACAACACCTCTCAATTAGCACACTAAATTTTCACTGGGTGTAGTTGATCTGTATTTATATTTCATAAAATGTCCAGTTGGAAAAAAAAAGATTTATATATATCCAGGTTATTCAAAACTAATTAAAAAATTTTTTTTGCATTGGTCAAAAAAAAAAGTAGTTTGGGATTCTTGTCCATCTCGCCTCCATTCTCCCCCCAAGGTCATGCGAGTTCTGTGGTGGACAGTGTTTGCTGAATGAATGATCTCCAGCCGGCTCCACCCTTCCACTTCCCACGTCTGATTCTTTTCGTTCAAATTACCTTAAACCCCTGAATTCCCTGATAGCCCTGACCTCCTATCATGAAAGAGAAATCAGCCTAACGAAAGCTTCCTGTTGGCGCGACATGTTAATTTTGACATGCATGTTTTACTTATGATAATTTTTAGTTAAAAATTCCTCCTGTTTTGCGGGGAGATGGGTGTAGCTCAGTGGCAGAGCATGCACGAGGTCCTGGGCTCCAGTCCCAGTCCCTCCTCTAAAATTAAATAAACGAAATAAACCTGATAACCTCCCCCTGTCCTTCCCATTTCAAAAAAAAATCTCTTGTTTTTTTAATTTTATGAGCACGTGTCTGCTCTTTTGATTAACTATTTAAAGGAAAATGATTCATCAAGGGGAAAAAAATTGTACGAGACAGCTGAAACACCTCACCCTTTAATAAACTGACATTTCACTGAAGGTGTAACAGCGACCTCCCCGCTCAAAGCACAAACGGCATCAAGGGTTTATCCTCCGCATCAGCTCATTGTCATATCTCTTAGCGAAGCCAAGGGGATCAAGACACCAGATAAAGGAGAAAAGAAGGGAAGATATTTTCTGTTGAACGAAAGCTCACGTTCTGAAATTTTGAAAAGCAAACCTGCCGTAAGCAACAGAGAAAAGTCTCATCTGCTCCTTCTAAGCTCATTTATTTTCTAGCAAAATGCACTGTCTCAACGCCCAGGCTTGAGGAAAATCATCTCCGATACAAGAAATTATCGTGGAGAGTGTACACTGCCCCGGCTCCTTATCAGACAGGACCAGAAAACGCCCCGGCTGCAGACCCCCTGCCAGCGGGAGCCACGCGCTTGGCTGACACGGGCGGATTGGGAAGATCAAAGGAGCTTTAATAGAAAACCAACGCCCAGCGCGAGCCACCCTGAAGCTCAAACAAGGTCCTCATGTGTCATCATGGAAAGGGGACACCAGCAGGGGGTGCCCTTGCATTTCACGCCCACAGGGCGCTGCCTGCCAACCAGGCGCTGTGCAGGAGGCCTCTCATTTCAGCCTCAGGAGAAACTGTGGGGCAGGTAGCATGTTCTTAGTCTTGCCCACTTTACAGACGGGGAAACTGAGGCACGGAGAGGCGAACAGAGCACCCAGCTCGCATGCAGCCACAACCACGCTACTATGCGGCCACGCAGAACCACACTCCGAGGATCCAGGGGATGCAGTCGTGGCCCAAAGGTGTTAATGAACTCGCCAGCAGTAAGCAGCGCTGAAAGACGCGGGAGATGGCCCGTGGAGCTGAGGTCTAGCTGTCTGAAATGCTCTTGCTAAGGATGACCACAGACGTAAAACGAGGTACGGCGTCTGAAGAATAACCCTCGCCCAGCAGCACCAATTCTGAGCACCTTCACTCCACCCTCTTAAATGGCTGGAAGGGCAGGGAAGTGCCAATCTCAAAGCAGAGTCGTAAGCTTCAAAAGAGGGTGGTATCTGCCTGCTGGGCTGGGTCACAGGACGCGGTGGGAGCGAAGGTGAATGACAGACACACCCCTGCCGGCAATTATTTGTTCCCTTCTGTCTTCCCACCCGGACTGCACGCGCCTCGAGGGCAGGGCCACGTCTGCTCTGCTCACTGCGCTGTGTCCCCGTGCCTGCCACACAGCGTTCCCTGGAGGGATGAGTAACGAGGGGAATGAACCCACCTACACAATAAAAGTGGGAGAGCGAAACCTACCGCCCCAAAATGTCTCTTTGGCACGTGGATTATTATTGATTATTATTTCCAGCTGCAAACAATCAAGAGCCAAGAGACCCAGGAAGAACCTTCGACCTTCTCCTTAACCGCCTAAAAGAGTGTGGACGGAGGACCCGTTCCAGGAAGGGAGCACCACCAGAGACCACGGTGGTGTGAACTCGGCGTGTAGACGGCGGGGAGCCTGCAAAGTCTGCTTGTTAAAACTCCCCTCTGGGTCCCACTGTCTCTGCCTGACCCAGCTAACATTTATTCACCAAACTTTTGCTTTCCCGTCTCTGTGTCAATTGCCTTCCTCCCCTTTAAGGTCCCAAACTCCTCCCTCAACATCCTCTTTTGTCTGGAGCTGAGGATGGTGTTTAAGGCGAAGGTTTCGACTCAGCGTCCCTGGGTCTCTCCCATGCCTATGTGTAATTAAACTTTTGTGTGGTTTTTCTCCTGTTCATCTGTCTCATGTCAATCTAATTCTCAGACCGGCCAGAAGGACCTGGAAGGGGACAGGAAAGTCTCTTCCTCCGACAACCTGCACATGTACATGTATATATGCACATATATATACACACGTGCATTGACACACACATATGAGTGCACAGATATGTAACAATATACATTTTGTTCACGTAAATGAACAGGAAAGTGAACGAAGGTATCCAAGCCTCCTATTGGATTTGTGCTCACGAACGTCAACATACCTGTGAAGGGTGATGCAATAACGGGGTAATCACTGCGTTCAACTGCAGCTGAGCACCGTTCTCACCGCTAAGAGCATCCTCTCCATTTCCCTGACGGAAAAGCACCGAACAAATGCCGGGGACCAAACACAACGGGCCACACGTATTTCCACGGTGACCTCTAAACGTGTTCAGTTCTTGCTTGATGGTTCATAGAAACAAACAGGTGACCTGCATTTTCCGCCACGATCATCAGTTTTTTTCTCTTTGACTATCTGGTGTCCGTTTCACCCCTCCGGCTTCCTCTGAGGGGGGCTTCCTCACTTCCTCCCACTGACGTGGCCTGGGGGAAGTGGGGTCAGGTGCCTGGTCCTCTCCTTACGGGATGCAGGTGTAACCCACACTGGACCGTGGGCCTCGGAGGGAATGACCCAGGGACAGAGAGAGGAATGCCGTCCGAACCTGGCCTTCAGCCTCTCCAACGGGTCCCTCGACGGCTCTCATAATCTCCTGGTAGATTCCCTGTGGCTGAAGCTGGGCTGAGGCTGCGGCCGAGGGGCACTGGCTGAGCTGTGCCGTTTCTTCATCGGCGTCTCCTGTCTGACCGGGCTCCGTGGACAGACGGTCGGGAGGGAATCAGTGCTGTGCGCACCGTGGTTATTCCCAAACAGCAGACCAAGCCTCTCTTCCAAGACATATCAACGCGGTGAGGCAATGCAATTTCGTGCTGAGAGGCCCTGCACATGGCCCTCCAGAAGCGGGTCATTTATGCTCACAGGGTCTATTCCGTCTCCGAGCTCAGCAGTTAACCAAGAAGGGAATGAACGGAGGAAGAGTGTACCCACACCGGACGTCAAAAATAATTGTAACGCTCTATGTGGAGTATGCGCTTCATCCGTTCCCGGAGATAATGGCTAAAGGGAGAATTTCAGTGTGTCCCAAGATCTGACCTCTGGCCACGTCTCAAGTCCGTTTCCAAATCATCAGCACGTTAACCCATAGCACTGCAGCAGATACTCAAATTCAAGGGCAAATCGTCTCAGCCACCGCCTAGTTCTGTATGCAGAAGTGATGCTAAATTGAATTCCTGACACTGAAAGGGCACGGACGTTTGGGAATCTTACAGTCCTGAGCCAGGCCTAGACCCGGGGAGGGGCTTCCACCGAGGAAGCAGGCAAGAGGAAATACGTTTGGGGGTCTCACTCTCTCTCTCACACACACACACACACCCCATCCAGTGAGGCCCGAGTCAGTGTTTCTAGATTATGGAGCAAATCATGAAATCAATTTGGGGGTAAAAATTAGCCTTTTTCTAAAATGACACGGAATAGCAGACGACAGACCCGTTCAGGCTTTTGGTTTTTTGTTTTTTGTTTAAAAACAGATTGTTTAATGCAGCTTGTTTCTGGTGTGTGTTTGTGTGGCATTTGGTCTTATCTGCTCACGAGAGCTGACTGTGCATAAAGAAATCCTGACTCCATCGGGTGACGTCTGCCTGGTAACTTGAAACTGGCCATGGCTAAAGCTTTGCCACCAGGGAAATAGGCAAATAGAGCTTTTAGAACATAGGGCTTCCTTCCCCACCCTCCCCGACAGAACCAGCGGCTGAACACTCACCAGCCACCGGCTGTGGAGAAAAAGCCAAACAAACACAAAACTCAAGAGACACTGACCAGCCTTGGCTGAAGGATCGGAGGGCCTGAAATGCGTGTCTGGGTATTTTGGTTTTAAAATCTGTCATCGGGGGGAGGGAATCAATACTGAAACCAGTTATTGGAAGGGCTGTGTGACTCACTGGATTCAGCGCTGCCTTAGAATTCCAGAAATTCAAATTACTGCGTCTGCTAAGATGACACTGAGGTTTTTGTGCTAGGGGCTCCTGTTGCCCTGCAGATTGGATAAAGACCTTTTACAAGGCAGGGGTATTGTGTGGCTCGAATGTCTGTGCCCACCCAGATGCGTATGCTGGGATCGTAACCCCCGAGGTGACGTGAGGGGTGAGGTTTCGGCAGCGCTTGGGTCCCAAGGGTGGGGCCTCATGAATGAGATTAGCGTTCTTACAAAAGAACCCAGAGAGCTCCCCGCCCTCCCATCACGTGAGGTCACAGCAAGAGAGTGTGACTAAGAACGGGGAAGTGGCCCGCCCCAGAACACGACCAGGCTGGCGCGTTCCTCTCGGACGCGCGGCCTCCGGACTGCGGGAAGTCAGTTTCTGCTGTCTGTCGGCACCCCGTCTGCGGCACTTGGTGACAGCAGCCCGGACGGACCACAGCAGGTAGAAACGAGTCAGGTCCAAAGCCCCGGCGCCGGCATCCAGGTCCGGACAAGCTGAGAAGACGGCCCAGGGTGGCAGGCAGACCTAGGTCTGGGAGATGCGGCTCCCTCGTCAGCGGAGGGGAAGCGAGCCGACCCCAGGACCGCCCCGGGCTGAGTGCGCGCGCGGCGCGGTGCCAGGTGCTCACCAGCAAACCTGCAACCGAGGGACGTCTTTCCCCGTTTCCTAGAGGGGTTTTAATGATAGATAGCGGAGTGCCTCGCGGAAGAAGTGCTTGAGAACTGTCAATCACTCGTGGCCATGAGCCTGAGGCCCAGCGACTCGCTGTCATCATGACCCTTCACAGCCCTTCACTCAAGAGCTCCCTGTCCTGGCTCTGCTTTCTCTCATTCATTCTCTGGTCGCTCCGCCCAAGCAAACTAACTCGTGGGCTGTAGGTGCAGCTCGGGTCAGTCCCACGGGGGCCTCGGGGGTGACTTTCGGTGCACCTGCTTGGAGCAAATCACTTTCGTGAGATGAGCGGTCCTGCACCCAGACGCTGGGTCCTGAGCGCTGAGCCCAACGGAGGGACAGCCCACGCACCTGCTCCGGCTTTGCGGAGGGGGAGCGGCTGTGCCGGAGTCCCAGGGAAGGAGAGGCGGCACCACCAAGCCCTCCCCGGGCCTCCGTTCCCCGGCCGACGGCCACCATCAGGCACGGACATCCCTGTGCACAGGCTGCATTTCTCGTGCTTACAGATACTTATTTTCCACCCCATGTGGCTCCTAAGCGCAAGTGCATTACAGAATCCAGCGATCGGGCAACCAAACAGCTCTGGGTTTGTCTGCGGAGCGCTTCCAGGGAGTTTCAGAGACAACCTGGGCCACACGGAACATCTGCCTCATGCGCGGACTTAGACTGGCTTTTGTTCCATGACTCTGCATTCTCTGAAAAGCTCATTTGTTATCCTTTGCAGCAATAAATTAACAGCAAAGGCTTATTATAGAGCCTCATAATCTTTAACCTTGGTCAAGAGTTCAATTTTTAAAAGGCAAACAGACTTACTGTATTTAAGAAAGACATAAAATTCTGGTCAGAAGAGTAGCATTAACTAATTTTTTAAAATACGTAAAAGGAGTAAAGAGGAAAACAGATAAAAACAATGCTTATGGCAAATCAACTTACTTCCGGACCTACGATCATCATGTAAACGCTGGGCTCTTCTTGATGCCATTCTTGGGGAGAAAAAAGAAAAAAAAACCTTTAAAATCGTTCTCAGTCACAGCTGAAAACATAATTCAGTTTAGTGTTCATTACTCCATAATGTAAGTTATTCCATATCATTTTGCTCTTGTTCCTATGAGTCCATTTAAATTATCTTTATTTAAAATGTAAATATTGAGTATTTTAGGCTATTAAGGAAATTTTTTTCTAGAACATTCTGCATTATTCAGACACCTAATTTATCAGGTAATTAGGACAGATACGCCAACTTAATATGAACTTTAGAATATAGTGAAGGTGGGGTGAGTACAGCTCAGTGGCAGAGCACGTGCTTAGCATCCACAAGGTCCTGGGTTCAATCCCCAGTGCCTGCATGAAAATAAATAAATGATAAATAAATACACCTAATTACCAACCCCCAAAAGAGAATATACTGAAGAATCTAGAGATTAGCTTAAGCAATGCAACAAAATTCCAAACATAACATACAAGTCGACAGGTGTAAAATCTTTCCAGACAACGCTAGTTTAGTCTTACAATTATAGGCTGTTTTTTTACAATTTCCTCTGAAGCCGAGGGCACCGGAAAGTAAGACACCACTGAACCAACCAGACAGCGCTGCTGTTTTTCTGGTTGTTCCCCAAGTAACAAGCCAGGAACAGTTCTGCTAACGTGCACAAAACAGGAAACCCAGAGTCCTAAAGAGAGATGCGTGGAGACGGGGACCCACGGGGAGCCCCGCAAGCAAAGGGCCCCGGTAGGAAGCGTACCCGAGAACGCGTCCACCAGGTAGAGCGGGTCTTTGACGCGCCTCAGTCCGCAGATCAGGAGAAACACGTGCAGGTGATCGGCACTTTGGTTTATCTCTGCAACAGAAGAGAAAGTTCAGGGTGTTTTCAGCAACGAGGACTCGGCTTACCATCGCGGCAGCAACGAGCCCTCCGCCAGCGCTTCCCACGCCCGACCTTCGCCTTCATCCTCATTCCGCCGCGTGAACTAGCTGCCCCTCCGGGCTGGGGAAGCCGAAGCCGAGCTCAGCCCAACAAACGCGCTGCAGTACAGAAGGTCGGGGCGCCCGAGACCTGTGAGCCACCGGTCCTACAGGTATCTCGATGCAATTCCACTTAGGAAAAATATTTTCTTTATGAGACTAAAAAGGTGGTTTATATATGAATGCAATGTATGTATATTTTGAGTCCGTATGTGTATATACGAGGACACGGGCTTAATGTATACACGCCCGTAGATCTATAAAACAGAAGGTTTAGGTTTGCCGGAAAGCCGTCAGGTAAGGTAGCTGAAGAAGGCCACATTCACGGTGGTCCTTCTCATCAAGAGGTGGAGCCGATTCCCTTGCCCCTAGACTCTGGGCTGGCCTGGTGACTCGCACCACGAACAGCGCGCAGGGCAAGGTGAGCGGTGACCTCCAAGCCTCGTGTCCAGCACCCTCACCCGCTGGGACACTGCCGCCTTATAATGAGACGTGGTGGAGAGAGACCCAGGCCCCCAGGCTGGAGGCGGCCACGCGGGGACCGCCAAGCCGCGGCCGAACGTACGAGTGAGCCCAGCAGACACAGGGAAGTCCGGGATGAGAGCTCCCACAGAGCCGAGTCCAAACTGCCAACCCACAAAATCATCAGAAAATACACGGTGCTGGTTGTAAGCCACCCTATATGTTCAGGGGGGTTTGTCAGGCAGCAGTAGGCCAGGGAGTCAACAGAAATGATTAATATCATAAACCCAAGCTAACCTAAAACTTCATCATTTCCAAGTGTATGTCACTGGACATAAAAGCATGCAAGGAGAAGGTTTTCACTCGTTCCTTCTACTGGTCCCATCCTCAGTGCAATTTCATTTCCTCTGTGCTTTTTCATGACTTGAGTAGTAACAAAGGCAGAATGAATACAAGGAGATATATTATCAACACCCTACCACGATAATAATAGTAATAATAATACAGAACCAGCTCTGGAGAAAATCTTTACCGAAATGTTAAGACTCAGATGTCCCCTTAGAAAACTCTAGAGCAATGATGACTGTCTCCGAACAACTGTTGACAATTCCATGGAGATATGTTGAGTTTTTGTTTGGAATATGTTCCCAGTATTCTCAGGATCCTGAAACTAACCTTCAAAATACAAACCTTAGTGAGAGTTTCTTGGATCAAAAGTTTAAGAAGCTATGTCTGGAATTAGAATCTGTGATGGGAAGAATTTGAGGTCAGGCGTTTGAACCTGGGGGCAAGAGACAAGCTATTCTCTGTAATAAATGATACAAGTTGAAGAATTATCTTTAAGGGGGTGGGGGGTACAGCTCAGTGATAAAGCGCATGCTTGGCATGCACAAGGTCCTGGGTTCAATCCCTAGTGCCTCCATTAAGGGGAAAATATTTTTTTAAATAAATAAAAATGCTTAAAAAAACAAGAATATCTTTGAGGATAGGAAGGTCAGGTGTGAAAAACAGCCAAAACCTACATAGTTAGGCAAGAACCATAATGAATGCAAAACCCAGTGAGGGCAAGTTGGACCAGGACAGAAATTACAAGTGCCTTGTCAAAAATCACTTACTAATGACAAAGGAATATAATACCTGGACATGGGGGACGTGAGGAAACTGAGAAAGACTCACTTAACTGACAGGAAGCCTTAACCCAGTGCACATGCCTTTATTTACACACACAGAGAGATTTGATACATTTTTTAAAGAATCACCAGTGATGGGAGAAGCTGAAGTTCCGTGTCTCCAGATGTGACACAGCGAGAAGGACACAGCACCCGTCACATCATCCTGATGTACATGGCGTATCGACTCAACCATAGAAGAGAAGAAGGAAGGAAGGAGGAGCGCCGTGAAATTACCAAAAGGGGGAAATCGGAGAATATCACCAAATTTAAAAAAAAGGAAGTAAATACAAAAAAACACACACACACAAAGATGGCATCCTCAAAAAAAGCACTGTTTTAAGAACCTCTTTGATGCCTCAGTGAGAAGGTAGCACTGAGTTCTTCATTCTCGCTTTGTGACAAGCACAGATATTGGAGACCAACACTGCCCCCTTTTCTTCAGTTTGACTCGCGTCAGCTACTTAGAACAGATGGTTCGGAAGAGCCGCTGGGTGAGGTGAAGCCCTCCGGTCAGGGAAAGTCCGAGAAAAGTGGCCTTCAAGGCACCGCCCCACCCCCCACCCCAACCCGGCTTCCCTAGGAAAGCCACCCTTGAGAAAGAAGGATGCACAATCTACAGAAGCTTCAGGATGTTCTACTACTTGCAGGAATGCAACCCCGTACGCATGAGATGAATGTGTTTGCACACACGGACACATAGACAGAGTAGTTTCAAAGGATAATTTAGGCTTATTACATACAAGACACTCTGATATTTCCTATTTCATTTCACTTCAGTTTTAAAGCTGCTGGTGCCCGACTCACTACGCTGACTTTGAGACCCCCTGAGCCACCAGACCCTGGGGGGAGACAGAGTTAATCCCACATCGCCTTGCCTCTCTCCCCTCCTTCTTCCCGGGCTGAATTCAATGTCACGGGAATTTGGAAAACTGCATGAGACCATGATCAAACAGAGCCCTCAATCCTTTGTCTTATTCTAGGATCTTTTTTTTTTTTAAGATTTTTCTAAAAATTAAATGCAGAGACAGCATTTGGGTTTGAGAGCTTATGTGCACTTCCCACAGACACCAAGATTGTTTTCAGGAAATTAAGACAATAGTTCAAAACTCCTCATCAAACAGCCAAGATCTCAGGCCTGCCTCCCTGAGGCATCAATTCTGAGCTAATTCCACTCCGGGCTCCCCGGGGCCCGGAGCAGCTTTCAGGAAATGCACTGTTTTCATTCTCAGATTTAAGAAAAAGAACGAAAACAGGCTGGCCCGTAGGGGTTTGGAGGTGAGGCAGGTATTTACATAATTTTTCTTTTAGTGGATTTCATTTCCTCGTTCTATTTTTTATTTTTATTCAGTGGAGGGACTGGGGATGGAACCCAGGACCTTGCGCACGCTGAGCACCCGCGCTACCACTGAGCCCGTTACCCTCCCCCTTTTCCTCCTTTTAACCCGACACTTACTTTTCTTCTCTTTACTTTTCCTCTACTATCCAGGATTAACAAGTCAAGGTTTGAACTCATCCCTTACAAACACACCCCTTCACGTGTCTTTCCGACGGGACCACTTCCTGGAGAATGGTATTTTTATCTTCAAAACAAAATGTGTCGTTTTCACAGTCTGGCACCACATCGGTCCAAACAGACGAAGCAGCACATTCCTGAATCCTGTGAGTGACTCAGGAGCTGGTTCTGGAATAGAAACCCAATCCACATTTAATCCACTTTCTTCGCCGTGTTCTATTCCAGGAGCTCTGTTTATTTAAATTTTTTTTCAACGTGTTGTTACAAGGACTGAAGGATTCAAGAACTTCTGTCGAGTGGTGAGAGTTAGCGAATTTTAGCTGAAAAGTCTGAGTTTTCCATCTGGAAAACAGGTGAGTTTTCCTAGGAACAGCCTGAGCAAGGAAAATAGTCCCAGCTGAGTTTTGCCTATGAGAGTTTCCATTTAGAAAAATAAATAACGTTTTAAAAAACAGAGGGAGAAAATTCAGTAGACAATGAAAACCGAAAAAGAGCGAAAGTGGGGGGGGGGAGAAAAAGAAGGGGCAGCGGGGGAAGTGTAAGCCTTCTCGGTGGGCTTGGGGATGGGACGGCCCGGGAGCCTTCATCTCTTTAGGTGCGTTAGTCACCGGCATTTAAAAGCAAAAATCATGGATCACTGAACCGTGACAACCTTCAAGATGTGCATGGAAACTCAAAAGACCAGGTGACTGACTTGATGCCCAAACGCCTATCTTCTCATCAGAAGAGCTGCTGTAAGCACCACGTGGAGTTACAACAATGCCACTTGGTGCCTTCAATCTACTTTACCCCGTATTTGGTCCTGGCTGGTCTGTTTGAACGTGGAATCCGGCGAGCTCAAGACTGACTTAACGTTTTAAATGAAGG